CATTAATCTTCTTTTTAAAGCTTCTGTCTAAATGTCCAATATAGCCACAGTATTGACACATGTTCACCAGTTTTTCGTACTTGAAGCTAACTTTTATTAACTGATTCCCCAGTCTAATAGAAGCACATCTGGGGAGAGGTTCTGCAAAATAAATAATTACTAAGAGCCTGAGGATTTTACCTCCATGATTGCCTGCACCAGCCACTACCACATTCTTAAGCTTCATGGAAAACCTTACCAATCTTTAACCCCACATTTGTGCTGAGCCGGCTTAAGGGGATGTTGAACACTTGCACCCAGATTGGTAGCTCTTGGAACACTGAGCGATTTGCAGATAAACGTTCTTTTCATTCTGTGAGAAGAAGAAATTGGTTGTCTACAGCCCAGTTCGTACCTCAAGCTACTATGTCCATATCTTCCTTACCTTGGAATATAAACTGAAAGAAATTTGTGGCTAGCTCTTTCTCCTCCATTGGCTGTTTAATCTTCCATATGTTGCTCATGGTGCATTTCACTCCCATCCGACTCACCAGACGGTCACCGATAATTTTGCCAAATAAGCTTTTATGGCATTCTTCTGCACTGTATCGAATGTCGGTTGAGGCTAGGTCTGTTATGACATTCTTCGTTTCTAACAGAGAGAATTATTCTAGGCGGTTTGCAAGATCATCATCATGGCCTATGAAGGATTGGCTGGCCATCTCGAAAACCCTAATCCCCTAATTGGAATAAAAACTCCCCGACTAAAAACCCTCCACAACTAAACAAACTAGCAATTCAGGAAAAGGATAAAAACAATGAAAGCTAGAATTGGAACTTTACGAAGAAGAAATGAACGACGGGAACCCCCACTGGAAAACGCTCTCCGATGACAGAATACGTGCGCTCTCCGACGAGAGAATTATTCAGTTCATACATTCATCTAACCCACTTATTCCATATTATTATGTTTCATTTTTTATTTTATTTCATTTTATTTTATCTTACTTAACAAATTTTGTTTCTTTAACTTTGGTCCATGAAAAAAAATATAAAAAGTAATATTAAAATTATTTGATAATTAATACTTATTTATATTAATTTAAGCTTTTATTTTATTTTATTTTACCATTTTTATAGTTTATTTCTTATATTATATTATTTCTATTTACTTCACTAGTTTTTTTAATTTTTTTTTCATTTATTTTTATTATTATTATTTTTCGTTTTCAGATTTATATATAAATAATAAATATGTAAATTTATTTAAATTTTTTACTTTTAATCCACTGTATTAATTTTATCTTTCTTTATTTTAATTAATTTTGTTCAATATTGTTGTTTTAATTTAATTTATTGAAAGTATAATTGTTATTATATAATTTATATTATATTACCTATTATACCTTTATTTTATTTACTTTGTTTTTTGGTATATATGATAAATATAGTTGTATTCAGCAATCTACATAAGTATCTATGTGGTAGAAACTAGAAATGGCCAAATGACGGGCCGTGACCCGACCTGGCCATTCCTATGGGTCGGTTCACTGTTGGGTCACCGACCCGCCGGTTTTTGGTCGTTCGGACTCAGCCCGACCCATAAAAAAACAGAAAAGTACAAATGTCGCCCGTCTTTTCAACCCGCGGCCCGACCCGGACTGTCGGGACCAAAAAAAAAAAATAACTAAGAACCGGAACCGACCCGCATGGGCAAGGTTCTGGTTCAACGAACCGGTGAAATTCGGGCAGGTTGTGGGCTGCTCTAGGCCGGGCTGGGAGCGGTTCAGGGTCGGAATGACGGGCCGGGTAGGCCATGTCCATGTCTACTCTGTGGCCCAGTGGTTGCCATGTTGATTTCTTTGCAACCCAGTTCTAATTTTAATCTCTCTCTTGACAAAATTTTAATTTTTTCAATAAAATTTAAAAGGGTATAAAGGTAAATTAGTAATTTTTTAAAATAAAAACTGTATAATTTTCGTAGCTATAAATAATGCGTCGTTAAGTTGGACGGGAGGGAGAACCATGCACCAATTACTTAATAATTATAAGGGGTTTTCATGCATTTTTTAAAACACCGGAAAAAAATTCGCATTTTTCGTATAATACAATACATGGTGTTAAAAGGACATTTTACCCTTTTAAGGAGAACCCCACATTCTTCACCCAAGTTCAGACAGCTACATAGAAAACTTGGCGAAATCTTCGACATTCATGATGAAATTGAAACCTCGATCTAATCTTTTTTCGCATTGCCACAATGCACCCGTTCACTTGTACCATCCAATGGGTTCAATTGCTTCTATTTTGGAATTATGTCAGTTCTTCACTTAAGAATTCACATGGCTGCAGGTTTAGATCCCTAATTCCTCTTAATTTTGAAGAAAATCCCAATTTTTAGAGGGAAAAAAAACTAAAGTTGATGATATAATGTGTCAATCTTACTTTATTTTTTTTTTAATGAAACAAACAATGTGGGCTTTATTAGATCCTTGTTAATGATGTGTTGTTGGGAATTAATCCCGCCCATTCAAGAAAATCAACCAAACACATTCTAAGCAATAATCATACACGCTACAAATTTTAGCAAAATGGTTATATCAAGCACTCAGAAACTCGATTCATAGGTCACCATAATGGTACAAAACACATGGTGTAGTAATAATATCCCTGCAATGCGATGGCTGGCTGATCAACTCATTTCAACTAGCAACAAGAAACCTAACACAATCGTTGACGAAAATCACATATTCGCAAAAAGGCCTCCAAACGAGTCCAAACTGTCGCCCATTTTGCTACATTACTGACTCAATCACGCATACTAAAACCGTGCGTCCAAAACTACCACACATTATGAACTCCTTAAGCCTTGATGGGAAGAACCCGGACGTTATCGATCACAGGGCCGCACAAGCCCCCAAAATCATTCACCTTGGTGTGGTAGAAGGAGCTATAGAAAGTCAACCTGGTGCGGGCTGAGATAGCCTTGAACACAAAGGAGTAGGCCCGTGACTCCCCTTGCCCATTGGACTGGAAAGGGGCCTTGAGGGTCTCCTTGGCAGCAAAAGCCTCGACCAACATGGAGCCGTGGCACCCATTCTTGGCGTCACCCACCACGAAGGTGAGGTTGTAGGGCTTGTTTGGCACGGTGCGTATCACCTGGGCAATGGCGCTCTCCCGCCCAGCCACAAGCTCCACGGCAGCTTTTCCTGAGGGGACGTTGAAATGGGCTGAGTCGATGAACTTGACGGCCTTGAGAGACTCGATGATCCATCCTGGGAGGGGGGAGTTCAAGTCCTTTAGCTTTGCTGGGAGGAGGATGCCGTTGACCGAGTTGTTGAGGAGGTGTGGGCCCTCTTCGAAATCTCCATTCTTGACTAGGTTGTCTTTAGACACAGTGAGAGGGAAAGAGCAGTTAGGAAAGAAAATGATTGATTTTCAAATGAATGGTTTAATTAGAAACATAAGATAAACTTGTAGGTTATGAATTATGATTATATTAGTAGCTGACACTTGACAGACATACTACAGATCCGGGAATGGAGTTTTGAGTAAATTAATGAGTCACAAGTTAAAGCCATGTTCCTGGGAATAAACAAAAGTGAGGCAAGTTGTGATTGCTTATAAACTCAACAAAAAAAACCAATCTAACTTTAATTATTTTATTATAAATAATATTTTAATTTAAACTTAAATTCCACTAACACCGAACCTATCACTTTTTTCAAAATTAATTATGGTTAAAACCAATCAAATCCATATCCAATTACACCATAATAGCAAGTTGGTTAAGACTACAAAAGAACATTTCTACATCATTGAATTATGAAATGGAAAAATTAAGCAAGAGTATTGTATGCAATAGTGTAAATCTGTCCACAATTCAAGCAGATGAACATGTTTTGTGATCAAAATGTAATCATTAATGGAAAGAGGAGACTTCAACCTGGGGTGGGCTTAGGGGGGAAAAGCTCCTTGATGGCAACGGCATCCAACAGGGGCCCACAGGCAGGGTCCTCCTGCCGGCCCGGGTTGTGGAAAGTGACGTCCACCGAAGTCGAGGCTGCCCTGAAGCCCCAGGCGTAGGTGTCCCCTCCGTCGCTGCTGTAGAGGGTCTGGAGGGGAAGATCCCCTACCTGAGAGCCCACCGTGATGCGGAGAACCTCATCCTGGGCGCACGTCCTCGAGGCCCCGAACGTGAGGGCGTAGAGTGAGCCGGCACGCACGAGGACAGTCTGGGAGATGGAGGCCTCGTTACCCAGGCGGACCGCGTGGACACCATGGCGCACGTGGAAGTACATGCCTCCGGGCTGGGGACCGCCCGAGATGTACTCCACCAGACCACGTTTCACCCACTTGGGCAGGGCGTGCCGCCCCTCCAGCTTCGTCTTGTTAAGGTGTTTGGGGTCGGGTTTCTCTTCAAAGTTGCCATTTGGAAGTAACCCTGCCCCCAAACAAAACACAAAAAAAGTGAAGAATAACAGCACATTATTAGTTAACAACTAAAGATGTATACTTGTGAATTCCATCACACAAACCAACTAAAAATGAACTTGCACAGAATAGTTTCGTGCAACAAAATATGAACATTATAAAATTTACGGGAAATGCTAAAGTCCCGCTACCGAACCATTCGGTCGGGGTTTGTAACCATTAGATCATAATGTAAGAGATAGTTGATCTAACGGTTACAAACCCGATGGAATAGTTCCGTAACGGGACATAGCATCTTCCAAAATTTACATCTTCGGACAAATCTGAAAGCAACTGTTCACATCTTGGGACAAACACAAAATAGGGCCACAGATCTTGATACGAGGAATACGATAAATTCAAAAAAAAAAAAAG